ATCATCTGAGGAGATGAGAGACTTTGGCAAAGATAGCCAACAGAGCTACTTTCAGACATTTTTAACATGGGTTGGTGACACAGTTTATCTGCAGTAGTTAAAGGGAACTCTGGTGATTTAGTATTGTACTTTAAAGCTAAGGCACTCACAAGAGACAGGTTCAAAATCAAAGCAGCTGAGGTATCCAGATATTGCAACCGATAGCATCTTTTCATTAGACACCCGGAGCCTTTCCCTAGCATCTATCAGACTTTCTGTAAGAATTTATTTTCTTCAACTTGACAGAGCTCCTCCGAAGCCACAGAAGACGTCAAACAGCTGTTTTCACATGCTGTGTACTATCAATGTCAAGTAAATTGTTTGCTAAACCCCTACTATCCCTTGTGCAAATGTCCAGTCACAGGGAGGTCTGAAAAGCTTTGATGTCTCCACATGTAGAAGGCGTGTGCATTCCAGGGCTGTAAGTCTGTTTAATCCATTTCTGACATAACCCTCCAAATTTATTTACAGTGTTTGTCTCCAGCTGCAGACAATGGCATGTCTGGCTAACTAGCTTAACCTAACCCATAGCTAGTTCCAAAGCCAAGTACCGTTTCATACTACATTGTTATAGTACATTACAGTCTACGTTAAAATAAAATCCCTTCAAAATACCACATCCACTGTGAAGTATTTCCACAATGTGTCAAAGTCAAGATGCGAATGGATCAGAATGTAGGGTGACGTTAGAGGCCCTGTCCTGCTAATTATTAGATTTGTTGAAGTTTACATTCCTACTACTAAATTTACATGTGAGTAATAAGCTCGTTTGGAGAACTTAAGGAATAATGGCACCTTTTTTGCTAAGAAAAAGTGGAACTAGTAGAAAACATGTGGTGGAAGAGTATGCTGGCAGTAGTTCCTCATACCTACTTTGTTGCAAAGTGGTCCATAAATACCTTGTGTTAAACATCCTCCCATATCTTGGCATTATAAAACTTTCCCATCTCCTCCCCTCATTTTTTTCTTTTTAATTAATCATTAGCCAGACCAGCTGCATACCTGTAAACTCTCTCATGCTTTGTGTATTTACAGGACACAGTGGGAATAAAAGTGAAGTTACATAAGCCTTTAAGCGCCAAATAAGCAAACTCACACAACAGCAGACACCAAATGTGCTATAAAATGTATAAATGAAGAGAGACCATTTTTCTTTCTATGCTCCGATCATTGGACCACAACCTCCGGTAGCTTCAGCCATCAGCCAAGCAGCTTGTGGCTCTTGTTGGTTGGCTTGCTCACATCAGGATGTCTGGTTTAAAAAAAAAAAAAAAAAAAAAGTGCCTACTTGACCTAAAAGGTTTACAATAATGATCAACCCATATTGTTCCAAAGCCTAGTAGCGGTTTGTTGCCCATTTCGCTAAATTGACCACAGACGCACCCATTCTGTGCTAGCCAGCTGTGATTATTGCACTGCTGGTTTCATTGATTGACCTCTCTTGCATTATGGTAATATCTAAGCACCATCAGTGGTCCAACACTTGGTCATTAGCACAATGTTAGATATAATTGGCTCTAAGTAGCTAAAATACATTTAATAATAGGATATAACTAATTATACAATGATTCACATTTTTGATAGTTTGAAACATTTGATGGTAGATTTTCTCAGATTTTGTTTGGAAGCCTCATACGGATTGAACCAGCTCACAATCAATACCATAAATGCTGCACTTGCTAACCAAGCAGGTTCATTGTCATGTGAAATCGTGCACAAAGGTCTTTCAAGTCTACAATGCTCTAGGTGTTCCCTACATGTGGGCATGTACATGAACTTTTCTGAGATCAGTCCCAGGACCACCCTGAAACAGTTTTTCTCACTCCTTATTCCAAAAATAGAATTACCTTTTTATACATTATTGGTCTAATAATCTATTGAAGTGGTTGTGCTTCCTTGATGCCATCTGTTTACCGCAGATGCCTTCACTTGCTATCCAGGTGACAAAAAAGGAAGGAACCTTATCGTGGCAGCCATGTATAGGCATGTAAGCCCTGTGTGTAAATAAAAAAAAAAAAAAACTGGGGACAAAAGAAACTTGTTTTTACTTTAACAAATGAGGAACGAACGTGTGTGCGTGTGGTTTATATTATGGCTTGCCTATAGGCCTTTGTAGCCAATTAGATGGAGCGCTTTGCTTCTGTGCTCTGATGCAGCATCATATTATATTGGGATTCTCAGCGCTGCTGTTCATTAATGCTCAGCCATCACCACTAACCAGAGATAAACCTTATAGATGCATGTACACTGTGTGTGTTTAAATGAACGCCTGTTTGTGTGGGCTCGCATATGTAGGCTTACATATGCAGGGGTCAGTAAGCTGCACGCTTTTAACATTTGCAACCCGAATAGCATTTCTTTGCTGTGTGTGTGGCCCTAAAAGGGACCATCCTATTCTGTTCCCTCAACTATAACTTTATTGTCAGGTCTGTCCTTTCATATGCTGGAGATAGAGGGATGATTTAGATGAAAAGAAGTCTAGAAAGAGTGAAATGAGATATAGAGCGTCGCCTCCTCCCATGCATGACTGCACTGCAAGAGCAGCCCTTGTGTCTGCAATGTGGACAGAAGTGTGTATGTGTGTGTGTGTGTGTGTGTGTGTGGTTGTGTGCGTGCAAGTGAAAACATCCACCTGTACACCCTTTTTGCATAATGTCTGTCTTTATGACCGTGTTTACGTGCAAGCGGAGGACAAGGCATGTAGACAAAACACAGCTCACATGGTGCAACTAGTCTTTTTTTTTTTTTTTTTTTAGCATGTTGACCTCAGACTACTATGGACCAGCTTCACATGAGAAAAGAAATATAGCAACAATAGCTTCATAAGGTCAGGGCTGGCAAAGATACAGTTAGTGTGTATACACTGGACTTCAAGCCTCATGGGAAGTGAAACGCGAGACTGCTGCTCTTTCTCAGGACAGTCGATCCTTTGTTTTGGTTTTAGGGATGGAGAGGGGAGTGGTGGGTACGTACCTGAACCTGAGAGCTGGAATCTTTATCAGCCACCTGAATGGATGTTTTCCCAGATTAGACACAAACACACACAAGAAATATTCAGTGTAAGATTTCCAGAGCTTTATTTATAGAACACTTTAATCTAAAAACAGAGTTTTTCAAAGTGCTGGTGAAAAAGTTAATGACACATTGAAAAGAAAGATGTTAAAAAATAACACCAGAAATAGACAAAAACTTGAGATTAAAGGGGCTGGGCACCTGCAAAAGAAGAGAATGAAAGAGACAAAGATGTTAATGTTTAAATGCTTGTTCTATGCTGGTTAACTATTAGAGAGCCAAGGACCCGTTTTTCCTTCCTTTCCCTGGCCAGCCCTCAGTCGAGTGTTAATATCAGCCATGTTGGGTTAAAGTCTATAGTAGCTTGACAGCGTACACACAAATGTACATAAAAAAGGGCATGGTTTTGTGGCATCCTGGTGACTTATGCCGCTAAAATGTGACCATAATATTCTTGGCTCAAACCTGCACTGTCACATCTGAAACGGAGATGCCAAAAAAAAACTATAGTTTGACATTTGGGAAAATACACTAATTTGCTTTCTTGCTGAGAGTTTGATGCGAAGATTGAAAATGCTGTCATATCAGTCAAATATCAAACTACAGCCAGTAGACGCTTAGCATAAAGACTGGGAATGGCTAGTCTGTCCATAGTCTACCTCATAAGCTCAATAACTAGCATATGGTATATCCATAGACTGTATATAAGAAATGGACGTAGTCATCGTGACACCACCCGTTGGTTTCTGGACTACCGTTTTGAAGCCTCGCGTTTGGCCGATAGGGCGCTGCCATGTCGAGTTTTTGCAAGCAGAAAGTACCCGGAAGTGATGATATGGCAGAGCTAACGGCCGTGTGCGGAGCTAGTTAGCTTGCTTAGCTAGGTGCAACTGTAACTCACGTTAACTGTCATTTTAACAGGGCTGATAACTTTGTCTAGCGAACAACTGTCTTAAAACTACTCACCAGAGAAAGTGAACAGCCAACTCCTAATAAGCTTTTTCAGCGGCGCTGGTTGAATTTACACAGTGCCGAGGGTATAAGTCGGCTCTAGCCTGATTGACAGGTCGCCATGGTAACAACTTGTCAATCATAGATAATCCCGCCCTGAAACATACTCTGCTTTGTGGTCTATTTAAAAATAAATGGGACCGTAATTTATTAAATGAACATCATTTTGTATTGAAGACTTGAAACTAGCGACTGAGACCATAAACTCCTCAGGAAAGTGTTTACTGGGGTAATTATTCAGCTGAGAAATAGGGTTATTTTCCCATTATTTCTAAAGGAGCCGGGCTTCTTTTTGCAACAAGAAGAGTCGCCCCCTGCTGGATTTTCAATAGAATGCAGGTTTCAGGGACTTCCGCATCGGCTTCATATTGTAGACTGGAGGCTACCCGCTTGGGTATATCATTTGTTTAACATGTACCGGAGTGTAAGATCAACCTGGAGGTGACAAATGGACAATCCGTGACACCAACCATATGCTCATTAAATCTGTAATACAGCATATCCGCTCCCCCTATGCACCTGCCGTAGCATTTCAAAGAGTACTGATGAAGGACTGGGAGTTGGGCTGAGTGCCCGGTTGGCTGGTGTTGCATTTTGCATCGGCACGACCTGAGGGGAGTTCTGGGGATCAACGTCGTTTGTGTGTTTGTGTTGAGTACAGACACCCTGCAGGGATGCCTCAGGCTGCAAACTGCACCATTGCAAGGCATTATTCTTTCTCCTGAAACTACATGATGCAACAGAATGTCAGCCTGAATAACAACTTGATGTGTAATGAGCCAGCCTGCTATGACGTTAATGGGAAATTAACCATCTTTTGTTAACATATGTCCTCTTTGTTTCTCTCCTCTTTCTTTCTGACACCCATTCCCCTTTTTGTCTCCCCTCTTCCTCTTCTGTACTTCTCTCTCTCTACTTCTCTGTCTTTTGTTTTGCAGAGGAAGCTGATTACACAACTTTTTGTACGGACTCTCTGACCAGAAAGAAAAACACTGTGCTTTCTGCAGTTCTCCTGCGGCCTGACACCAACAAAAAAAAATCGCCGGTGATAATCAGCCTCCCGAGGGACTTCCGCCCGGTCTCCTCCATCATCGATGTGGACATCCTCCCTGAGACGCACCGACGTGTTCGCCTTTACAAGCACGGCCAGGAAAAACCGCTGGGCTTCTACATCCGCGATGGCTCCAGCGTACGGGTCACTCCACAGGGCCTGGAGAAAGTCCCGGGAATATTCATCTCTCGCATGGTGCCCGGCGGGCTAGCTGAGAGCACCGGCCTGCTGGCAGTCAATGATGAGGTGCTGGAGGTGAATGGTATCGAGGTGGCTGGAAAGTCTCTAGACCAGGTGACAGACATGATGATCGCCAACAGCCACAACCTCATCATCACTGTCAAGCCTGCCAACCAGCGGAACAATGTTGTTCGCAGTGGAGGAGGAGGAGGAGGTGGCGGAGGCGCGGCGTCTGGTAGCTCAGGGCGCTCGTCGGACAGCGGTGCCAGCTACTACGGCTACTCAACACAGGGTGGGGTTGGTGCTGCGGCCTCCGTGCCATCGCACATCATCCAGAACTTCCCTGTTGGGGAGCTGGAAAGCGACGAAGACGACGAGGATCTGGTGATCGAGGCTGGGGGCGAGGCTGAGCCAATAAGACACGCCGCCTCCAACTATAGCATGCCCTCGCTGCTTCGCTACGAGCCACACCTTAACCTCCGCACTGCCTCCACCTCCGCCCTCTCCATCAACGCCAATGGGACCCTGCCAGCTAGCGGCAGCAGCGGATCACTAAGCAACGCCAATGCCACTTCGACAACGCCGTCGCCAGACCGAGCAATGGAGAGGCGGAGTCTGGAGGAGGACGGCACTGTAATAACTCTGTAGACTCGATATTCACACACTAAACACTGGAAACCAGAGACAAACACTGAGAATACTTCTACACACACTTGTGGGAGTCATGGATCAGCTAATTAAACACAGCAACATCCTGTACCATCATACGGTGACTGTACCTGAGGAGAAGCACAATGAAACGTGTACATATTAAATCTCATGACACTAACATTTACACGTCAAACACTACAGCCCATATTTTCCTCCTCTACATGCCAGTGACCGTGCATGAATGCCATAGTGGTAACACCACCCCCTCCTCCGGTTCTGCAGGCAGATAAATGTCAGACAAAGAACAGCAGAAAATAATTTGGTTCCCACCAAACCACTAGTAGCACTTGTTTTTAATCCAAAAAACTGTTGTTGCGCTGAGCTTCCACTAGAGGGCAGAGAAGAGACGCTTTTTTTTTTTGTTGTATTTTTTTGTTTTTTTTCCCCTCAACAGTCCCAGGAATAGATGAAGGTAAAAGTCCTGTGAATGAGTCACTTCCACCCCCATAACAAACACACTGAAGCCGGACTGTAGCTCAAGCATTTATTGACAATCTGTGGTTGTTTTTTGCCTTGTCACCCCACGCCCTTACCACTGTACCACACTATGACCACTTCCCCCAGGTGACCACATCATGCGATTGGTAAACGGTTGCGGTACTTTCCATACAGTGCAAGTACCGCAACAATCGACCAAGTGCTGAGATCCGCAATAATACTGTAGTTTTTATTCAAGGAGAAACAAGTCTGGGTTCTTCTTGTAGGCTCAGATGCTTTTAGCCACTGTTAGCTGTTTCTTCCTCTTTACCTGCTGTGTTAATGACTGACTGATAATGAAAGGCTGGTGATTTTGATGAGTCTTGGAGCAACTTGCCTTTTGAAAATCCCTTTACTTTTAGGCCAGTGTTTTATATTATTGATGTTTTCACTTTGTTTCTTGTCTCTCTCTCCTATTTTTTAATTTTTTTATTACAGTACTTATTTCACAAGTGACTGTACGACCAGTTTCCATCTGACCCATTGCAAAGCGCAAGTCACTCCAGAAAATTGCTCTTAGAATTAATTTCCCTCTCATATTTCCTTCATATTGCACTCCCTATCCTCTCCACGACAAGGGCTATTTCCCCTGCTGCATGTGTACAAATAACAAAATGTGAATGTGATTGAGTTTTTGTTTTACCCTCCTTCTTTCTGGACCACAAGTCAAAGTATCTAATGTCAATGCTGTACAGTATATCCATCTCTAACGCTAACCCCAGGCCCTGAGTTCACTTGGATGTGTCCTGAAACATTCACATATGAAAAGTGTTCTCTCCAGTATTTCTGCACCATGTTATCTTTTTGCATCTTTATTCTCATTGCATTCAATTAATGACACACTATGTAACACGTCAACTATGTAACATTCAGAATATCAACTTAATATTGACTTTGGGCACAAATGGCAGATCAGTAGCTGACCTGTAACACCACAGAAGTGGGTTAAATGAGCGGTACGTACAGTGACAACAGAGAAACTGCCTGTATCTCAAAAGGGAGCCCTGGTCAGATTGAGTCATCTTTAAACACACACACATGCAGGTACACTGGGCACAAACAGATTCACTTTTGTATTTGATGAAGGTGAGTCAGGTCTGTCTTATGTGTACAGTATGTCTTGGCCCTGGTCTGTATTTGGTATTTCCACTGAAGCTGTTGCTTTCCTTGAGAAGTCCCTAATGAGGTAATGAACTGGCTCTCAGCAGAAAGTTGATCGACAGTTTAGGCCTAAGTTTAAAGCTGCACTAAGGGAAGTGTGTGTGTGTGTGTGTGTGTGTGTGTGTGTGTGTTTTTTTTAAATACTAAAAATGATTTTGGGCTGCAGAGATACTTGACTTCACATGCAGGATTGTTCAGTAGTGGAGTCAATCTGAATCCGCCAAAACAGTTTTTGAGTTGAATTTGTGGGATTTTTGCACTTAACTCCAAATCATTTGCTGATTATTCCCCTCAGAAATGTGGGCTCGTGATCTCCTCACCATGAAAAGTAATTCTGGTACCGCCTGCTCTTGAAGTGGATCCCTAACATTTATTGGAAGTATAGATCCATTAATCTCACATGCTGTTGCTAACTGCCTTCCTGAAGAGTGAGGGCAGATGGCCGATTATTTCTCTTATTGATTTTCAACATTTGCTCTCCTGTTAAGTTATAACATTGATTTTAGCATGGATTGTTATCTCACTAGAACACACAGCAACTCTCAGTATCAGCTTAACTTGAACCTATGTGCACTCGTAATGAAACACTGTACATTCATACAGATCACCATCACGCTAATGTTTGAATACCTGATGAGCCTATCAGACTGAATAACTATGACTGGAAACCAACACACATCCGCTATTGTATTTCAAGCTATATGTATACGGTACTGTGCTTTTGGCCTTCTATGGTACACTGGATGCTGGTGGGATTCTGTCTTCTTTCATTCCCGACATTAAAACAGTAATGAATGATACTCTGAATGGAAACCTTTTAGAAATCAATGTTAATTTATTTCCTTTAATCCTAACTTTACCACAGGACACTGGGATTGTAACCACAGCGACACTGTTATTTATTCTCTAATCATGTGTCTGCATATTTTCTTTCTTTGTACACATTTTATGACTATTTTTTTATTACTGATATTTTTTTTTTTTTTGGTTCATTCATGATTGTTATTGTTTGGTCATAAATCTCCTGGTAGATGTTATTGTCAAACAGTAGATGATTTTAGTAGGTGATTTTACTGTTCTGGCTAAAGCAAGACATGACACTTTCTTTTTTCTTTTTTTGCATACTGTGAATTATCAATATTATGTTGTGAGAGAGAAAACAGTCATGTTAGCACAACCTCAAAACAGGCTACATGTTTTGCTTTGAGTCTGATGTTTGTTTGTTTTTTTTAAAGTGATCAAGCAATGATTTTTGCTTGCCAGATAAATCCTATGGTATAGATTTGTTATTAAAATTGTCAGTATTTTCATATCGATGCTATATATGATGTGCATTTTTATCACATTTAATGAAAATGTTTTAAGATTCAACTGGAGAATGAATATGAATAAATAGTCTTGCACCTGTACTTGCTGATTGGAGGAGCTGGATAAAATAAACTAATATGTAGTATGATCCTTGTTTGGTATGTTACTGTACCTGTTCTCACTTGAACAGTTGTGTTTCATTTAACTTCATTGTGGTGTTTTAGCGCCATCTGTAGGACATTTCAGGAACTGTTTCTTTTCCTTGGGAGCGCTTGATTTGCTGCAGCGGTGAAAACGGCGAACTGTTGCTCAACTAATCTCCTCTGTGGTACATTTAACCGGACACGCTTTGCATTGTCGGCGGTAGATGAAGCATGGTTGCCTGTGAGTTCACCATGTGAGTATTTGACCCCGTTTGGGAGGTGACCACCTCCCCAGGGTGCCGTAGCCAAAACCCAGACAGCTGAGAGTCACGTGACATGACGTGTAACCAGCATGGCGGCGCTGAGCTGAGGTAGCACCTCTACTGGACTGACACTGATAGCCTGGCTTTCGTTAGCTTTCCTTGTCACCTGCTTATTCGCAGGGCCAGGCCGAAGATGACGGCCTGAGAGAGGAGCGGCAACAAGACCGAGAGATGCAGCAGCAGCAACAACAGCACCGGCCAGCACCGCAGCAGCAGCAGCAGCAGCAGCATTCACAGACGGAGGCAGAAAACAGTAAAACCAAGAGCATGTTTCTGTCCAGGGCGCTGGAGAAAATCCTCTCCGACAAGGAGGTGAAGAGGAGCCAGCACAGCCAGCTGCGTAAAGCCTGTCAGGTGGCGCTTGGTACGTGGCTTTGTTTTGTTCGCTGGTTTGCGGAGCAGTGGGTTTTATGTGGCGCTTCACGGACACATTTCGGCCGCGTCTGACTCGTTAGGGAGAGCTACCCAGTTAGCTAGCCTTAGCGTTAGCATCTGAATGGCCTTCATCGCCTGCTCAGCAGCTGTCCGGTAACGTTTACAGGTGATGTAAGCTGATTATGTTTTGGGCATCACTTTCACGTGATATTGTTAATTGTGCAGTGCTTACACCCCCGCCCGCACACAGCCACCATCGCTGTCATTGTCGGCAGGTAAACAAGCTAATGGGTAGCTGTCGTTAGCTAGCTGCGGCTAGGTTAGCTAGCCAAACAGACCAATCCCTGTGTTGTACGTAGCACTGTCACGCCAGACAGCCGAGTCCTGCTCTGCACCCAGACACACAGGCTATCTAACTCCTGGGTCCTCTGACGTCCGCGCTTTCCCACTCATCAGGAGTAGTGTTACACACGGGCCTGTTCACTTGTTTGTGGTAGTGCTGTTTATATTTCAGCTCGAGCTGCCCTGCCCGTGTGTGTGCGCGCACCTCTTTGTCATGTTCTTGTGACTGAAAATGTGGGTGCGCTAACTTCTTGTTGGTATAGAGGCTCCACAATATTCTGGTGGACTACTCAGCCACAGTTAGTTAGTTAGTTGGTGTTTGTTTTTTGCACAGTGTCTCCCTCTCAGTCCTACTGAAGGTGGTTGAGAGATTGCCAAACAAGAAGTCGTGCTTCATTGTTAAGGTACAGTTTGAGCTGTTGGACAGGCTGCAGAGAAATGGAGGTGGGCAAACAGGTTGGTGTGTTTGAGCTGCTTTGTCTGCTCTCTGTTCTCCAGTGACACACACTCATTATTCATGCCAGTTGAATATAACACTCCTTTTCTCCTTCAGACTCCTCACACTGCCAGTGCAGGGTATGTTGTGTGTCCCATACTGACTGTATGTCTGCTGTGGAGCATGTCATCATTCCCACTGCCGCTTATTTCTCTGCTCAGACATCTTAGTTGTTATGCTCTGGATTTCATCTGTTGCCTTCATGATTAAATACATGTGCAGTGGAAAAGAGAGATTAGTCGTTAATGGCTGTTTTGAAGTGAAACACCAGAGCTTAGCCTGGTGAGTAAATAAAAACTTGGCATTAATACCTTTTTTGTATATTTCGGTCCACTGTTAATTCCCACACCGTGGAGAAAGGAAACTGAGCTAACATTTCTATTATGCAAATCATAGGGCTTACTTTCCTGGTACAACAGCTACTCATGACTGTGACATTTTTGGTGAGTGTTGCACAATCTGATTTCCTCTGTGTAACTGTAATATGGCGAGAGTCAAGTTTAGTAGCATGTGCTTGCACGTCGAGTGTGAATCTAATCGATTTGGTTGCTCACATCTGGCTGAGCACTCAACATTACTCTGGGTAGCTGAGTAGCGGGTGTACAGATCAGTGTTGGGTAGAAAATTATAAAGACATTGATTTAGGCAGAAGAGATGGAATGGTGTTGTGTGGAATAAGAGAAAGACCAAAGGTCTGAAAGAGGCTGTCAAGTTGTGATTATCAATAAAACATAAGGGTAGTCTCACATTAATCCTGCTCAATATTCAGTTAGAATACCCGTCTCTTGTCTACCAACTAAAATGCAAGGAAACAAACAACACATCCTGCTGCAGTCAGATTGGCCCAGATCTAGAGTCAAATCATGTCACACTGCTGTGAGCTGAAAGTCTCAAAGTTCAGACTTCAATAACTTTTAATCTCCTGTGCCTCCCTCCATAGATGAAATCAAGGCAGAGCTCGAAAAACAAAAGTAAGTATTGTTATGTACATACGTTGTTCCCTGAATGAATGGATGGATGGATGGATGTATGCACAGCAGTACATTTACGCTCCTTTTCTTGTGATGTGAGGCTTGAAGCCGAGGTAAGGTTTGCCTTGCAGCAGTCTGCAGTAAAGCTGCTCACTGTGATTTGTGACTAAAGACATTTGCTGCTTTTATAACTGCTACTTTGGAGTATATCAGCAGCGCTTCAAACAGCCCTCAGGTAATATATCTGCAGCTGTAGGCAAGTTGTTATTTAACAATCCACTGTTGTACCTTCCTAAGGTTTAAACCTAAAGCTTAAACGCTGTATAACTTTCTGCGTCATGAATATATAGATGTACAGTAAAAGGTTTTACGCAGCGCGTTATCTATTCACATCATCTGCTGTAGTTGGTTTTACGTTTCAGTGGGACCTTTACTGCTTTTTTTTATATGAACAAACAGTGTGTTTACACCAAGCTGCTGTCATTGGGACTTTCTAGTTCACACGGCTGTATGATTTCCTCTCATCTCTACAGGGATGGTACGGTGGTCCCGCCCAGAGCCAACTACATCGAGGCTGACAAATATGTGCTGCCCTTCGAGTTGGCCTGTCAGTCAAAGTCCCCACGGATAGTTAGCACCTCTTTGGACTGTCTGCAGGTTAATACTCGCTGCCTCACACACATGAATACAGTCAGACAAAACTCAACATCTTCCGCTTCCTTCATGAGGGCGGGGGGAAATCTTGCTACACCTGTTTCATATATCTGATGTGTGCAGGAGAACAATGGTTCTACATTCCACACACTCTCTCCATCCTTTAAACCGTTAGTGGCTTTGCAAACTAGCTACACTCACGTGGTTCGAAGAGGACCCAAATGTAGAACCACAGAAGATTAGCCAATGAGCCAAATAAATCAAAATGTACATTTGCTATAATATAAAGTACATAGAAAGTCAATTTGAACAAATAGCGACAATATCACAAAAAATAACAAACGAGGATGAAAGCTAAATGTTACCGTAGTTATTTTAACTTTAATTTAATTTATTTTTTAATTTATATGAAAAAACTTAAATCTGTTGCCCAACTTTAGTGTAATATTAAATTGCAGGAGTCCCGCTTTAAACACATGCACAATTTTGATCAGACAAATCCCCCAACAAAGGAATGTAACCCTGAATTTCTCTTTTTCTCACATACTCCCAAACACATAAGCGCCACCCAAATGAACCCCAAACTGACACACGCATACAAATCACACTTGTGCAGGGAGTTATGTGCATCACATAATATGACTCTTGATTAACACAAAGACCCCAAAACTGCTCAGAATTACACACTCACTCTGCCTCGGCCACCATAACCTGTGCACTGTTTCTCCACGGTAGAAGCTGATCGCGTACGGCCACATCACAGGCAACGCCCCGGACAGCAGAACCCCGGGCAAGAGGCTGATCGACCGTCTGGTGGAAACCATCTGCAACTGCTTCCAGGGCCCGCAGACTGACGAAGGAGTTCAGCTCCAGATCATCAAGGTACGCCCAGCCCCTCTCCGTACATCTGGCAGCCTTCAGATCCTCCAGCTGTCAGTTGTTGTTTATTTGAGACCCATTCAGGTCAAACAGTCAGGACTGAGACACTTAAGTCGTCCATAATTCAGAGCTTTCAGTCACGGTTCACAGTAGTGGAGAAAATCAGTGTCTGCATATCGTTTCATAAGTGAGGATATAAGATAAGTTGGATAATAATATCGGTATGCCTTACCATGTCTTTTTGTGTGTCATTATCACATTGTCAGCCACTTAAAACCATCATTTACTACTTTATTCCTGTGATCACACAATCGTTTCTAGCTTAAAATAAAAGCACATTCTGTTACAAAAGCTACCTTTGTTCACTAACCAGTCCTGTGATTGTGGCCAGACTCAACCAGCTGCATTTTTTTTTTAAAAGCTGCATTGATTCATTTATTTCTTCTTTTTCTTTTCTGAACAGGTTTCAAACTCTAGCAGCTTTAAAAAAAAAAAAGTGTCCAATATTTTAAGTTTTGGCTTTGTGACTTTACATAAAGTTTAGTTTGTGATGTAGCCATTTAAATACATATTATTTTTTATCTCATTTATTCGTATCTCCATGTCTGTTCTTTGGCTTAACAACGTGCCTTGTGTTTGTTCGGTAGGTGTGATTCATAACTACTGCTTACTCAAGTGTCCTCTTAGAGAGTGAAATACACATCCTGGTTGGTTGGAAAGGGCAAAGTCTCTCCTGTTAAAAGAAGCACACACTTTTATCACTGTTGACAAAAGATTTATAGAACAGATTAACAAGATCTGTTGGGCTTATTACTGAAGGAGACCTGAATGTCAGTGCAGTATATTTAGACTGACTAATACAAATTTGAACGCACAATAATATGTAAATGAATCAACCTTGTGGACATCGCCTAATAATTTGAAAATCATTTTTTGTGTATCATCAAAATAGAAATAAGCAACCGCACCATTCTGCACCAAACATACCGTAGGAGAGTTTGACGATATCTGTGGCTTTAAAGTACCTCATAAGAAGGGAAGTTGAATGGTGATTCAGCGGGTGAAGCAGCAGCAGCAGCAGATCCATCTTCTAAACAAGACATCCTGTCTGATAGCCCGACTTCCTTTTTTCTCTGTCCAGGCCTTGCTGACGGCGGTGACCTCCCCACACATAGAGATTCATGAGGGCACGGTGCTCCTTACCGTCAGGACCTGCTACAACATCTACCTGGCCAGCCGCAACCTCATCAACCAGACCACCGCTAAGGCCACGCTCACGCAGATGCTCAACGTTATCTTCACACGCATGGAAAACCAGGCTGTTAGTTCAGTTCAGCGCTTATACATTGCTGCATTACATCTAGACATTCAACTGATGTCACCGTTTTGGCAAAACATGGGGAAATGATTGTTTTCTCCTCTGCCAGCCTCACCGCTGGTTTAATCTGTATTATAATAAAGTATTTGTTTTTGTCCAGCACAGCCACATTTCCTCATATAAAACAATTAGTCTACATGGCTTCTCTTCTCCTTCTGCTGCCTCCTCAGGCTTTGGAGGCTCAGGAGCAGGAGAAAGACCGGCTGTGTCTACCCCAGCAGAACCCATCCCCAGTCCCAGGTAATCCGAGGTCTGGCTCACCCCGGTCTGACCGGACACCTACCCCAGAGCCCCAGAGCTCCTTGTCCCCAGCAGCCAGTTCTCCAGACCTCACTGCCACCAGCTCCACACCCCCACCGGCAGCCCCTGACCTGGACAAGGACCAAGCGCCAGACAGACCGTCAATCAATGGAGAACCTGATGGCGGCAAGGCTCCGATGAATGGAGGAGCTGAGCAGGTCACACCATCAAGAGGTACGTGTCAACGAGGGCCTCCAACTTTCAGTTTAAATTTTAAGTTCAAATTCAATCGAAGCTTGAAAATCTTTTCTTTTTTCCCGTCTAACCCTTTTAGGACAGTCTGAAGGTGGAACCGTTGATTGTGCAGCTTTCATATAATAGCTTACTTAATCTTTGTTATTTGTTTACATCAGATTCAGTGTTTGAATATGAAGGTGCAGAGACACCTCCAACAGCAGCTCAGCCAGCTGAGGAAGGAGACTACCCAGAGGTCAATCCAGAGGGAGAGGAGGGAGGACAACAGCCAACCCAGATACACAGTGGAGCAGGTCACAACTCACTTGTCTATGCTATTTTTTTTTTTGCTATTCTCTCTTTTATGTCTTCTGCGTCTTTTGTCTTGCTGAATGTCAATACGCTGGCCGGCGACAGTTTTTTTTGTTTCGTGGTCATTAAATGTCTGTTCTGGCCTCTCCTCCAGGAGGTGAGCACCCTGCCCACCCTGCCACTGAGCAGACTGAGGGGCACCCCCCCGGAGTCAGAACAGAGGGTCAGCAGATGAACGGCATCATTGAGGACCGCTCTTCTGTTTCGTCCACAGATTTGCTGGTGAGCAGTGTTAATAACATTAGTTATTAATCCATAATGTGCTGCTTGCCTGAGTGAAGTGGAAATAACATTTTAACTTCTAAAAAATGTATAAAGTTAATGTTTGCCTCAATTAATGTTTTCTTCTTGTATGTTGTAAACATTTGTAAGTGTGTGCTTTTACGCTGTCTGTACGTGCCACCTACTGAAAATATGTTATGATCACTTCCTATGTGTAGCAAGGTTTTACTTCTTTGATCTTTATCAAGCAACAACTGACCATCATCAGTGTTCAGTTCCTGTCATCAGTCACACAATGAGTTGAGGATTTGTAATGGTTAGAGAGAATGCCAAATCCAGTTCTTTGAATGAAGTAATGAAATGCATTGCTGCTAAAGAATCTGTTGAGTGAAGTATAATGAGAAACGTTTAAAGGGAGCATGTTTACCCTGTTGGTACGTTTGTTCAGCTACAGAGACAGATAAATAAAATGTGAACCACAGTAGCAGAAAGGAGATACTTGAGTAACTCTGGACTCCAACCTCAGGTCCTTTGGACAAATCTAGAGCCCTGCCACAGACCTCAATCAATATGGACGTGTCCCACCTCAGAAACAGTTTAGGGCTAGACAAGCCAGAGCTGTTGCTTTCCTTTTTTTGATGTAGGTGTGTTGACAGACAGACATACATACAGACCGAATACAACATTAAATTAAAGTACCAAATTTACAAATATATTGTCATTCAAACCACTATGCTACTATACATAAATAGAAGTTAAAAAAGGCTTAAAGATATCTCTCTCTGACTGTA